GTGGACACAACACCTCTCTGGGGGATGTAGAGCACATCCACAAGGTTAAGAGATTTTTTACTCCCTACCCTAGATGGTGGTCGATTGAGAGAGAACCATCCAGGAATGAGTAGGCCCCATGGTCCTTGGCTCCTATGTGCCACTGGGTGGCTTATATCACTCTTTCAAAATTGAGGCCACAGGATGGTGAGTCTATGGCTTATCATTCTGCAAAACAGGTAAGGTGAAAACTCGTTGCAGTCAATAGAATAAGTAAAGTCCAAAGGGAGGAAAACTCAGTTATACTATTGGAATATCAGTTTTGGTTACTGAAATGATTCCAGTAATGACATGTGGGGTTGGCTAGTGATAAAGTCATCTAATGTGAAACAGGAAGAGAAAGTAAATAATGTTACATGCTTACTAATGCTTACAACATATTAAGTCACAGGCCTTACAAAAAAAAACATGTCAGCTGGGTATTAGCATCCCCATTTTAAAGATCAGGAAGCCGAGGCTGACAGAAGCTAGCCAACTAGCCCAGAATCAGAGGGCAACTGATAAGATCTCAACTCTCATCAATTTGACCTTGAAACCTATAATCTCTCCACAACATCAAAATGTGACCTTGTGTCATGGAAGTGATGTCAAAGGGCATCCACACTAAACCTTCATATTAGACCCTAGTAAGAGTTCTATGCTGTCAGTAAGTCAGTAGGAGAAAAGATATTCATTGACATAAGGGATGCTGAAACATGACATTTTTCTTAGTATTCAATAGTCTCTGTCAGCACTTAAAAAACAAATGAGGTTGTGGTCTTTCTGGAATGGTTAGTGGAAAGATAGATGGATGAAGTTCAACAGTGGCTTTCTCATTCTTTGAGTTCAACTAATTTTATGAAAAAGAAAACCACATAAACTACATTACTACTTCTGTTTACAGGAACATGCCCTGAGGAAATTGTAGTGTGGTATCCAATGTCCAAGAGAGTGTTCTTAAACAGAAGTACTGCCACTAACAATCTGTGTGATTTTAGACAAGTTATTGCCTCTCTCTTGGCTTTGATTTCCTCAAGAGAGAAAAGAGAAGACATTTAAGTGAACTTTGAGGGCTATAGATACTTTACCGATCTGATACAAGCTATGGATCCCTTCCCCAGATGTTGCACATCTGCATGTAACTGCACAATTTCGAATGCCCATTCTGGTTGTTCGTGGATCTTCCAAAGATGGTTCATGGACCCCCAGAGAATATACTGACCCTTGAATGAAAACACCTGGAGTACATATGTGATAATGGAACTGTAGTCATGCTTACCAAAAAAAGCCCTTATCTTTTAGAGATGCAACCTGAAATATTTATGGATGAAATCATTTGATGTCTGGAATTTGCTTTAAAATGATCCAGTGTATTTGAGGAGGGATGGTGGTGGTAGTGGGGGATAACAGATGAAACAAGACCACCCATGAATTGATCATTGGTGAGACCAGGTGTTTAGTTCCATGACTGTTCTCTATACTGTTTTCTCTACTTTTGTGTATGTTGAAATTCTCCGTACTAAAATAAATTTACACAATAGAAATCAGCCATAATTTAAAAAATACTCTGAGTAGAGTAGATGATCTCGACTGTTTCCAACTCTAATAATCTATGATGTAGCATTCCAAAAAATCTGCAAAGGAAATGGACTTCTGGAAACATGTTATGGGCTCAGGGCAAGGAACCATCCTCCTTTTCTCCTAATGGACTCTCTGGACTAAAGGGTTTATTGTAGCTCCCTTTTTCAGATATTTCTGTGATGTAGGCTTAATTCTCTCCATAAATATATTTTTGGAGGAAGAGGAGCAAAATCAAACACAAAGAATCTACACAAATATTGGTCTTTAGTCATTTCACATGTGGCTCAATTTGTTTTCAAAGATTTCTTAAGAGGGGATCCCTGGGTGGCGCAGCGGTTTGGCGCCTGCCTTTGGCCCAGGGCGCGATCCTGGAGACCCGGGATCGAATCCCACATCGGGCTTCCGGTGCATGGAGCCTGCTTCTCCCTCTGCCTGTGTCTCTGCCTCTCTCTCTCTCTGTGACTATCATAAATAAATAAAAAAAATTAAAAAAAAAGATTTCTTAAGAAAAGACCAAAATACTGCTGTAAATGACTTTGAGTGACCTGTGAAATACTTGGTTGGGATGTTAGGGGAACCAGAAGAGAGTGAAACAGCACACAAACATGACAGATAAAGGGCTGGGCACCCAAGCTCTGCTGCCCAGGGCTCTGTCCTAGCTGAACAAACTAGCTATGTGATCTTGGGCAAGTCACCAAACTTTCTGAGCTTCTACTTCCTTATTCACAAAATCAAAGACAGAGGCAATTGCCCTCCTAGGGTTACTGTGAAGAATCAAGTCATACCTGACATATAGCAAGCACACTTTCAGTAGATGGTGACCAGAGTTCCTTCAACTATGTAAATATAAAAATAGATCTTACAAAAAAGATGTACGATATAGATCAAAATGTTATCAGTAGTTGACTCTGGATTGTGAGCCAATGGATCATCCCCCCCCCCCTTTATTTTTGCCTGGGCTTTTTCAAATTTCTACAAAGAGTATTACCCTTATAATCAGAGAATAAAAGTCTTTTAGAAGGTAATTTTAAAAGTCTTTCTTGACAAAGTTTAGTGCCCAGAGAGGCCTAACCCATGTGGTATTTTCACAACCAGACCATGTCAGAGGAGTGAAGTGGAATACACTAATGCCTTGTGCACACTTTCTTTACTATGGTCTCATCTTCAGGATGGAAGATCCCTATTAAGCAGTGAGCTTCAGATCTGGCATTCCTGGTGTGGAATAAATAGAGCCTTCTTCTTTTCCTGTTTCGTGCCCTCCCGCCCCCCTACTACATATTCCTCCACCAGCAGCTGGGCCTTTTGAGACGCTTGGAGCCCTTTGAGAATATCACCAATGCTATGCCATAAAAATTCACATCCAGGCACACTATTTTGCATTCAATTTCCTGGGCTTCATGGCCCACCCCTCACCCTTCAGCCCACCTCCACTGATTAGGAATACCTAAGCCATGGCAGATTTCTGAACACACACTTTAGGCATGTAGACCACTTTGAGAAAAATTGGCATGTACAAATTTGAAACCATAGTCAGATAAATCAGTGGATAATTATGGATATTACATATGTAGTTTTTGCTCTGCCAAAGAATTTGCATCAGGATATCTATAAATAGCAAACCCATATAGTGTGTTTAAATCATGCCTCTGTATTTGCAAATGCTAAGCCCTTTCCAGAACACACCTACTGCAGAGCAACAAGCCCAATTCAAAAAGTTTAGTACCAGTTTCACTCACTAGTTTTGCTACTTTCATTTACAGTCCACTAGATCATCTTTGAAATGGTCACTAACCCATAACCCTTAGGTGGCTGGTGGTCAATGATAGACAATGATGAGATGACCAGAAAATTCTAGTTGGAGGAGAGGTGGTATGAGTGTGCAGGTTATGAGACAGCTTTGGAGTGGATTATCTGTGGTAGGGTGGATCCCCTTTATCTTGGGAAGGAGAAGACTCCTAACTCTGGGAAACGAACAAGGGGTGGTAGAAAGGGAGGTGGGTGGGGGGTGGGGGTGACTGGGTGACGGGCACTGAGGGGGGCACTTGATGGGATGAGCACTGGGTGTTATGCTATATGTTGTCAAATTGAACTCCAATAAAACACACACACACACACACACACACAAAAAAAAAAAAAAAAGGAAGGAGAAGGGTAAACACTGATTGAGTCCTTACACTGCACTGGGTCATTTCACATATTCTTCACAGAATTCTGGAAGGAGAGGCTTTTGCCCCCATTTCCAACTGAGTTTTAGAAAAGTTAACATACATGCCCCAGATCAGACACTTATCAGGGGGAAAAAAAGGTAAAATAAAGACAAGACAAAGCTCTTTTTGATGGTTAACTTCCATAGGCTGGGATGTGTACAGTGCCCATCATCACTTAAGCTAAGAGCCACTTAGCTGTGATTTTGATCCTTGCTGCTTTGGCGATGGCTTCTAAGGATGGATGTAAACGGATAGAGGGATGGGGCTTTTCTTTCCTCCATCTCACCTGCCCTCCAAACTGGCATCCCCCTCCTGTTCCCTCCCATACAGGAACTGCTGGCATTCCAAAGATGCCTGGGGAATTCACAAGGATCTCCGTATAAAGAGCCAGGGGCCCTGCACTTAAAAAAATCCACATAACCACCAACTCCATCTCATGATTTTCACCCCAGGCTAAGAGGCCATTCAGCATGTCACTGTGAGCAGCCACAATTTACTCGACCTTCTTCCAAGATTTCCAAACGTGTGCCTGGAACCCCTAAGAGCTTTAGAGGAAGTGGAACGGTGGCACGAGAAGTGCTGCGAGGCTGGCTTTGTGTATGCGTGTTAGTGTAACTCAGAAAAGAAAAGCAAGGGTAAGTTCTCCAAGTGTTAACTTCCACGAGAGGAACCTCAACTTTCTCACGAATGCGCGAATGCGGCTCTTCCCTTTGCTTAGCTCTTCTGAAGTCAGGGGTGAGCCCTTCAATAAAGCAGAGTCCCGGGGACCTCTGAGATACAGACATCGCTTTGCTGGCCACAAGTGGCTGGCTTTTCTGGGGGTGTATCCATCGCTACCACACTTCATCCTCCAGAAGCCGCTTGGCACCTACACGTGTTCTGGGCACCCGCGGGTTGAAAGCTCGGGACCAGCCACCGGCCGCCCCGGAGGGCAGTGCCTGAGCCCGGGGAGCGCACCAGCCAGCGCGTGCTCGCGGGGAGAAGCCGGCGCAGCCTCGGGTCTGCGTGGGCAGCAGGCTGGGTCCACGCTACGCGGTCCAGCAGCTTTACCGCGGGTCCTGCCCGACCTTCGGGGTTCAGGGGAGCCCGGTCTCTCCCGCCTGCGCCGGCGCCAGTGCCGGGGGGCAGGAAGGTGGAGGGGAGAAGGGCAGGAGGAAAGTGAGCGCCGGGTTCTTGGGCAAGTGTGCGCAGTACCTTGGATTCCTGGCTGCCGGTGGATGCCGGAGAGGGCGGCTGCCCGGCGCTCGGCGCCCCCTTGGGCAGCCCGTCCACGCCGTCCTCGCGGGCGCCGCTCGGGGGGATCATCGTGGCGGAGCGGGAACGGTGTTGGGCTCCGGGAGGAACCGCGACGCTGGCCTTGCCGCCGCTCGGGCTAGCTCAGCCGCAGGTCCCAGGGGCTCCCATCCTTTCCCCGCCGCCCGCGCGCCCTCCCTCGGCCTCGGCCTCGGCCTCGCCCTCGCCCTCGCCCTCGCCCTCGCCCTCGCCCGCCGCCCCTCGCCGGCCGGAGCGCGGGCGGGACTGGCAGGCGGCCGCGGACCGGCGGCTCGGGAGCGCTCGCGGGCCGCGGGGGAGGCGGGGCGGGGGGCGGAGGGGCGGGGCGGGGCGGGGCGGGGCTGCGCGGCCGCCGCCGGGAGGGCGGGGGCGGGCGGGGGCGGGCGGGGGCGCGGGGGTCCGGCCCTGGGGTCCTGCGCCTCCGCCGCCCGCTCGCAGCCTCCGCCTCGGCCGGGGGGTTCCCAGGAGGGGCAGTGGAAGGAAGAGAAAACCCCGGCGGGGCTCAGCCAGGAGGGACCACCTGCAGCACCTCCCTCGCTGCTCCCCCTAAGGAACAGCGACTCCAAGGGAGACAGTGACTTAGCTAAGCTATTTATAGGGCTCAGTGACGGAGAGCAGGGAGAGCTGGGGTTCCCCTGCTTGGAAGCGCTCCGCGCTCCCCCGTTCAGCTTGGGACTAAAGCAGAGGCGAGATGCAACGAGGCTCTGTCCTTGTTTTCGTGCTGAGCCCTCTGTGCTTTTGACCACATTTAATCCTCACGGCCAACCTCTTGGGCTGGGCAGCATCACCTACATTTTATAGATGAGGAAACCGAGATTCTAGGAAGGCTAAGTCACTTACTGTAAGTCACTGAACTATAGAAACAGTGGAGCTGGCATTGCAACCCATTTTGGCTTCAAATCCATGCCCTTTGGACTCTGAAGCCTCAGGTGGTGGGCGGCTCTGCAGGGCTGAAGGGCCAGCTGGGTGCTGCAGTACAGCGAGGAGTTCAGGGCTGTTCACGGAGGGGCAAACCAGTCTGCCTTAATAGAACCTTTGCAGACATGGAGATAAAGGGACGGAACGAGCCGTTATTTTCTGAAGACACAACCTCAGTGTGCAGGGAAAGGAAATCGATCTGGATATTTAAAAGATCTTATTCTTCATAAATAACAAAAACTCTCTCCCTTGTCTAACAGAACGTTACAACCTTATGTTCCAGATTTTCCCGATTAACTGTAGTTTTTCGAGGCCAGCTTCCTGAGTATGTAACCTGTGCAGTCTCACACAGGACCTGTACTTGGTTTGATCCTCTTCTGTCACCATCTTGAAATTCTTTTAAGTTTTTTTTTTTCCAATTGTAGTTTAGTTGATATGCAATGTTACACTGGTTTCAGGCGTACAACATAGTGATTCCACATCTCTATTCATTATGCTCTGCTCACCACAAGCGTCGCTACCATCTGTCACGATGCAATGCTATTACAGTACCACTGACTACATTCCCTGTGCTGTATCTTTCATCCCTGTGACTTAGTCACTCCATAACTGGAAGCCTGTACTCCTCACTCCCCTTCACCCTTTTTGCCCATCATCCCAACTCTCTCCCCTCTGACAGCCACCAGTTTGTATTTATGGCAACCACCAACTCTCTATATTTATGGCTCTGTTTGAAATTCTTAATAATATTTGAACAAAGGGCCCTGCGTTTTCATTTTGGACTGGACGCCATGAATTACATATCTAGTCCTGCATGTTTGCCTTAGCTCATGTCCTTCGGAAAGAACCTATTACTCTTTCTATCCTGGACATCAGTTGAAAGCTCCTGTTCTAAGTGCTAGGCTCTTAATGGGCATTTGGCTCTCAGAAAGCTCCAAATACCCTAGTGGCCCTTAGCTTCTCATTTGACCTGGCCAGATTGTTTAAACCCAATGGCCACAGCTCTTTCCTCCCCAAAACATAATTCCTAATTGCTTAGTGGATACAAAATTCTAATAGCCAAAATTACCAGAGTTACAACCAGAGCACATAATGACAGGGGCAACAGTTTCAACACATCTTTATCAAGCATCTATTCTGTACCAGACATTGTGCTAGAAAAGAATGATAGAAATGATAGAATGACAGAAAACATAGATAGCTTCAGACTTTGCACTGGAATGGAGAGCCTGGTGAGAGACAGAGATAGATATTAATTAAATCACACAGACACAGATACATTCACAGAGATTTTATGAACTGTGGCAAATAAAAGTATAGGAATCTAATGAGTATGCACAATGTAAGGACTAATAAGTGTATGGCCAGAGAAGGATCTTCTGAGGAAGTGAAGCCTCCCCCAGGGTTGAATAGACAATTACAATCTTGGTGGACAAGCACATTGTGACTTAAATACATGGAATTTTTCATCTTTGGATCTTATTCTATTTTATTTAGAATTGAAGGGCAGCTGTACTATCTCACCCTTTATTTTAGTGAATGCTCAGGCTTTCATTCTGTGAACTTTGTCTTCTTCTAGAGCCATTTGTAGGGAGATACTTTCAAGACTATTTAAAAATTTTAATTGCCATACTTATGAAAGGTACAAAAAAGAATAGCAAGAAAGGAAGAGAGAAGATAAGCAGGGTGACCAGGGAATGGGGAACTGACAAGGATAAAGGAGAGAGGGTCTCAATAAGTTGGTTCTCCATGTCTGATGCTTTGAAGTCATTATGAGTAATGAGATATATGAAGGGCATGGGGTTTAGCAATTAAATTGATGATAATAATCATTGCTAACCTGCACTGGGCTTCTTCTATGTTTGTAGGCATTTTCTATGTGTTGTTTCATTTAATCTTTTATTTAATGAGATAATCATGCTAGGTTTTACCAGTGAATGTGGGAACAGGGACTTGGACTCAGATATATCCCACTTCTGAGCCAAGTTTTGACCACCCTGTCCTGCTGCCCCTCAAGCAAATGTGAACCAAGATCTGATGAAGAGGCTGCAGGCCTTAAAGGGAAGATTGATGCAGACTGAGAGCCAGAAGCTTAAGAGATGCATAGGTAGAGTCCTCAAAGAATGAAGACTTGCCACCTTTCTTTATCCTAAGAGTGAATAATCACCAGATCTGCATTATGGAGGTGATAGCCAAGAAGTCAGGACAAACACGGCAGGAGGCACCAACCGCTGCTGTTCAATCTATAAAGGAGCATTGGGAATGCCAGCCTTAGTTGTCACTTCTGGCCATCTTGCCTGAGGGACTTGCATGCAAGCCAGAGAAACACAATGCTTTGTCCAGAGTCCTACAGTAACAACACCAGCCTCTACTTTGAGCAACTGTTTTTTTTCTTTTTTTTTTTTTTTGTTACTTTGAGCAACTGTTAATGCCAGATTGCAGTCCTCACAACAATTCCAGACTCGTCTCTCCTCAGCATCAGTCATTGAATTTGGAGACTCATATTATCAGAGTGAATGAGATCCAGTTAAGGCATCCTTAACCTGTTTTTTGAAGTGCGATTAATAATAATGATGGCAACACTAATAGTAGGTTATATTTGAAGTGCACTATTTGACTGCATTGAAATGATGTCCAAGCTGGAGGGACCTAGAAAAGGCAGCCCCTTAAGGCTAGTTTCTGGTTAAGATCTGCCTCTGTTCTGTAATGCGCACATTTGCGGGCTGCTTCTAGTTGGTTATAACCTCTCGGAGATGGACGGGGACTTGAGTCTTTACATTTAGTGAAAGGGCCATGACCCTAAAGTTCAAACATCTTGGCTCTTCTACTTAAAAGCAACAAGATCTTAGACAATTAACCTGATCTGCCTCAGCCTTGGTTTCCTTGAGTCTAAAATGAGATAATGATCCCTACTTCATAGAGTCTTTGTAAGGATCAGAGGATTAAATGCCTGGTCAAAACTAGTCTCATACTATTAATTATCATCATCATCATCATCATCATCATCATCATTAGTTGTATGCTTTTGCTCAAATATATTCGCTTTGAATTGGGTTTTCTGTTCATCACAGCCAAATGGATGCACAATGTCAAAACAGTTGCATTTCTATACACTGTTAGTGAAATAGCAAAAAAAGAAATTAAGAAACCAATCCCATTTACATTTGCACCAAAACTAATAAAATGCCTAGGAATAAAAACCAACAAGGTGAAAGACTTGTACTCAGAAAACTATAAAACATGAGTGAAAGAAACTCAAGATGACACAAATACAGAAAGATATTCCGTGCTCATGGATTGGAAGAATCAATATTGTTAAAATGTCCATAGTACCCAAAGTAATCTATAGATTCACTGCAATCCCTGTCAAAATACCATCAGCATTTTTCACAGAGCTAGAACAAACAATCCTAAAGTGTGTATGGAACAACAAAAGACTCTGAACCACCAAATCAACCTTGAGAAAAAAGAATAAGCTGGAGGTATCACATTTCTAAAACTGTTAATAGTTCCTACCTGGAAACTGCAGGTGTGACAGTTATGTGCAATTTCTTTCTTTTTTCTATAAATTTATTTTTTATTGGTGTTCAATTTGCCAACGTATAGAATAACACCCAGTGCTCATCCTGCCAAGTGCCCCCCTCAGTGCCCGCCACCCAGTCACCCCCACCCCCCGCCCACCTCCCCTTCCACCACCCCTCGCTGGTTTCCCAGAGTTAGGAGTCTTTCATGTTCTGTCTCCCTTTCTGATATTTCCCACTCATTTTTGCTCCTTTCCCCTTTATTCCCTTTCACTATTTTTTATATTCCCCAAATGAATGAGACCTTTGGAGAAGGACAAACATTATATGGTCTTATGTGCAATTTCTTACAGATTTTGGTCCTTTGATTAGTAATCAGCATGTGACTTTACATATCCTCTTCTATCGGTTGAGGGTAATAGTTTAAGAGACATGAGAACCCCTTCACCCTGCCCTTTTCTTTTTTTCTCAAAATGCCTGGTCTGTTCTTTTTACCAGTGTTGCTGTTTGTTGCCATTTCCTGAATGTGAGAATCCTTTACCATTTTTCCCTACGGATAGCTCTCCTCCAGTTCCGGACCTCAGAGCCTACCATCTAAAGAGTCCTGTTTCTTTCTTTCCTTATTTGGTGTCCTTCAGAATCTAAGCTCTGTGAGGTTGAGGACCTCCTGTCTTCTCTTCATCATCTATTTCTGGACTTAGATGCTCATATAATAGGTGCACAGTGAGTATTTGTTAAATGAATGAAAGATAAAATGTCAGTCTGTAGAGAAATTTACAGATC